AGCCATGAAAATGAATGATAACCCAAAGGAGAGATGACCTCTGAAGGGCTCTGGGGAGCACAGAGGCATGGCTAACTTTGCCTTTAGGAAGCTTGTGCTTCTCAATGGGAAGGGCAAGGTGGAGGCAGGGAGGCCAGGGTGGAGGCAGGGAGGCCAGGATGGAGGCTGTGACTGATCAGGAGTGGTGTGGCAATGACTGTGACCTGAGCTAGAACCATGTCTTTCTGAAGGCCATTATCCCATGTATGATTTCAGAGTCTATGGAAAAGATGCTGTCCATGCAGTCAGAAGGAAAGTTGGACACCACCCCGCTCTATGGGGAGAGTCTTTTCATTTCCTGTTCTAGAGTTCTCTCCTAGCATAAAGGTTAAGTCCATGGGTTCTGCAGCCAGGCACACCCAAGTTTCAGGTCTGCCCATGTGACCTCGAAAAACTCGCTTCCCTTCTCTGAGTACTCTTTACCTCCAGACAAAATGAAAATACAACAGCCTGGCCTCAGAGGTGGTTGTGATTGCTAGCTGAGTCTCAGAAGTGCTTAGCTTGGAGTGAGTGGGGTCCTAAGTAGCTCTAACACTTCCTTCACAGCCCTATGCGTTTGGTCCCCTGCTTGGGGTCCCCGCTGGCTTCAGCAAAGAAGGATCAGGTGTCCAAGTGGTTACCTGGAGCCCATGTGGAAATGGCAGATGACACACCTGCCACGTTGCCATGCTTCTGCTTTCTAGAGCCTCAGATAAGCACTGGTTAGGAAGGCCAATTTCAAAGGCTAGGCTTACAGTGGGAGAGGCAGTCAGGGCTTGCCCAGGACTGGAGCCGGCAGGGGGCCAGGAAGCCGTCCCAAGGACAAAGCTCGGACTCCAGTCATGTGCTGGCCAACTGGCCCTGAGCTGAGTGCTTAGTCCCCATGTCCCCTCCAGTGGGGAGTCTGTCACTGACTTGTTCAACATCAGGTCCCCATTTCCAGGGGAGTGTGAAGTCTGAGGTGTAGCTCATGGTAGACTTCCTGATCAGTTTTGCAAACCTTGTGTGCCTCGTGAACAAAGTAACAGCACCCACCACCCAGGGGTGCTGTGATTACCTGCGATAGCTCATGCTCCAATGTCCCCTGTGCCCAGTGCTCCGCAGCACCTCATAAAAACTGGCAATTTTTCCGCAGCCCCACCCTTTTCTTACACTCCTCTACCTTTCCAATCCTCTGCCCAGATCTCTCTACAGGACTCAGGGATGGCAAGGCAGTCTCGGCCATCTCAAAACTCCTAAAAATCTCACCTACTTGACATAGGATTTCAGCAAATAGGACACGTTTTGGTTCGGCTGTCGTGTTTGAGATCAACTGTGGCCTCACATTGATTCTCTTTTCTTTTAATGGCCGCCCAAGGACCATGGCTGTGGTAATGGGACCCATTCCTCTGCCATAGCAGAAAGAGCTGGGCTTGGGTCAGGTGTATCCCTAGGTGGCTAGTGACAGGGCCATGTACCCATGTGGCAGGTCGCTTGAGCCTCCATCGTTGGAGGAAGTGATTTCTAGCAGGGATGGGCTGGACTGACAATATGGTCACTAGGCATGAAGGTAAGCACAATGATAAGAAAAAGAAAAAGAGATCACCACGTATTCTATCACCCACCAGAAAGAGATTGTTAATATTTCATGTATCATATTTCCTGACTTTTCCCCTCCCCAATTTACTTATTAAAATATGAGATTATTATGTTATGTAACACATAATATATATCTGTACATACACGCACACACATATATATAGTCTATCTATATATTTATACATAGTCTATCTATCTATCTATCTATCTAGTCTGCTTTGAGGCATACACCCCCTAACCTCCAAGAAACATGGAAGTGTATACACTCTAATTAGGGTTTTGGTAGGATTGGAGTTAGGTGGTGTGCAGAGGAGTGTGTAGACCAATGGTGTGCATGAGTTCGCTTCCGCCATCCTTCATCTCCAGTGTCACTTCTTCCAGGCAGCCTTCCTGGACTCATATGGCATTCCCTTCTTAAGTTCTTTATTGATGCTGGGGTTGGGGGCAGGGTATGGTTTCAATGCAGAGCTGAAGTGTAGCAGGCTCATGAATCCGAGTGCACCCATTGCACTGCACACAGAATTAAACACTAGGTAGATAACCAGTTCTTCTTTCTCCCCGTCTCCCTCCATCCCTCCATTCATTATTCCTTTCTTCTCTTTAGCTAGCACAGAGGTCAACCAGAGAGACCTCTCAACCTTCTTCCCACCTTCCATCAACACCTGCTTTCCCATGAGCTCCTGGTGCTACTACCAGGCACTCTCTTGGGCACAGTCACAGGTGAACACTGGCAGTCTTGGTGTTCACAGAGCCCTGGAGACTTTCCCTTCATTGCTTGTGCTTGCTAAATTCTGGGCTGAAGAATGGAGGCTTGGAGTTGTGGGCCTTGGTTCTAAGTTGCAGATCCCTTCTGGGCTGGCTTGGTGCTCTTTGGATGCCTTCACCCCCCAAGGCTGCTCCTTATGCCGCCCCTTTGCTCACTGCATACTGGCCTGAGGAAGGACCGGCATGAAGAGTAGGCAGGGAGGCCAACAGAGGGGAGGGCAGGTCCCAGAGTCTCTTGGGCAAGTTTGGTGGCCTAGGATATGGTGTGACAAAAAGGTCCTGGATTGGGCCTCAGGAACCTGCATTTGAGCAGTGCCTCTGACACCATTGTCGCACCTGTGGACGTCCTGCCCCAGCCTTGGGCTTCCTTTCTGTGCAGGGAGGGCCAGCTTATTCTGAGTTTTCTCAGACTTCTCTGGTCTGATGCAGAGACCCTTTCCCTGTGTTCTGTCCCTCAGCCATCACCACGCATGCCAGAAGTTGTCTCACTGTGGGAAGGACCTGAGGGGCTCCTAGAGAGCCCCACTTCTAGGTTCTCATGAGTTTGATCTGCCTTGCTCAGTCCTGGGCACTCCACCACTTGGGCAGCCGGGATGGTCAGCAGTGGCGTCTGTGGGTCTGTGTGAGGCTTGGCTGTGTGTGTTGGTGGAGCTACAGAATTTGCAGGCCTTGCTGTTCCTACCTATGAAATGGGAATAAGGACGCTAATTGCTTTGGTCTACTTTGGGGATGAAATGCAATAAATCAGGCACTAAGACAATGCCTGGAGCCTAGGAAACCATGCTGGACGCTATCACCACTGTCATCACTGGATGCACTCTCACCACCACGGTGTTGTAAGCACCTCCCCCTTGTCACTCCAAGGAAAGAGAGCCAGTCACCCCTGGCTTGAGCTCTCTCCATGCATGCACACTTGAGGAGGGGACTTCAAGCTAGAAGACCTCTGAAGTCCCCCAGCTTCGATGCACACATCCTCCGGCATGCATTATGCTAGGGATCCCAGGGAACGGAACGACCAGTGGACCGCTCCCCACTTGACTGAGTGCTTGTGCACAGTCTACCGATGCTAGCAGGAACCACACTGAGGCTGCACTGCATTGCAATGAAATGCAGGAGCCAGACTCCTGGGCATGGGCTGGCTGTGCTCTTCAGGCTCGTCACTCAACCACTCTGACCCTCGGTTTTCTCATCTGTGCAGCAGGACTAGGGCCTCCCTTATTCACAGGGTTGCTGGAGGACTGAATAATCACAGCACCGATAGGTTTGTATGAGCTGTGAAGACTGGGAATGCTAGTCTGTATTGTATGTTCCCCCCTCCCCACGGACTCCAGTCCTTACAGTGGGGGCCTTCGTCTGGCATCCACACCAAAGTGGACAAGGGAGAGTCTTGGCACCCATCCTTTCTCTGCCTCCTGTCTCACAGGTGTGCCTTCAGACTCTTCTAGGCCTGTGTTGAAGGGACTGAGAGATGGGAAAACTCACAAGGAAGCTTCTGCACCTTTTTTTAATTAAAAAGTAAGGAAACCAAACACTTTCCAGGGTGTGCTGTGGTAAGCCATTGTGGGCACATAAAGTATGTACAAAATGAGAAAGAGACATCCAAGGAGCTGCGTTCACAGTGTCCCAGTGAGGGGTCACAGGAGCCCTCCCTCCAGGCCGTTGTTTCCTCCAACAAACAGCCACCTCTCCAGGAAGCACTTACTCTGCCTTGTTTCTCTTGGAAGGCTCGGCCGCCTCCCGCTCGCTGGTCCATGACAGAAACACAGGAAGCTGGGCTTTACAAGGTTTTGCAAGTGGGCCGTGCTGGGGTGGAGAGGTGAGGGCGCACCCCTGTCCTCTCACGGAACCCTGGGTCTGTCCGAGGTCTGGGGAGAGTGGGGAAAGAGGCACTCTGTATTGAGTCCACTGGATGCATTGTCCCAGGGCATCTGGCTGGACTTCTTGGCTTAAGCCAGCTGGTGATGGCTTCCTCCCTAGTGTGGTGACTAAATGAGTGTCTGCAGGTAAGTTGAGGCAAGCAGAGTAAGGTCAAACCAGGATGAGACAAGTCTCAGGCTGGTGAATTTTGATGGAGAACCGATGGGGAAATTTTGTGTATTTTCCATAATCACATCCTTACCCTGACTTGCCTTAGCTGCTCCACCCCCGCCTTTGTTGGTCCAGTCTTTGGGAGTCACCCAGACCTGGATTTGACTTCTAGCTCTGTCATTTGCTAGTTTTTATAACTCTGGCAAAGTTACTCAACTCCCTCCAGCCTCAGTTTTCTCGTCTGTTTGATGGGGAGGCACATGTGAACCTCACGGGGTGACTGTAAATAGTAAAGTGTGGCTGAGACTTTAAGGAACCAAAGACAGCACCTGGCTCAAAGTAAGTGCTTAACAAATGACTACCGTTATTACTGCTACCCAGACACTAGTGTTTCCACTGCGTAGCTGGTGAGACTGTGTGTGGACGCAGCTGTGATAAACAGAAGGCTTAGACAACGTTCTAGAAAGAGGACGGGCTCCCCTGAGCCTCCCGGGTGATGTCTGGCCATTTCAGACATCTTGGATCCCAGGGTGGGGCAGTAGGCTGGCCTGGAGGACCCCCACTGCTTTCCTCCTGGGCGTGTCCATGGGGGCCCAAGGGCTGTTCTGTGACTAGACCTCGGTGCCCTCCCTGGGGTAGATGCTGTTGTAGAAGTGGGGGCTGAACTGGTTGAGTACAGAGCCTCCATAGCCGAGAGCGCTGGTGGGCATGGGGTTGGCCCATTCTCCCCCGCCCCCGTGGCTGTGACCACTGAGGTTGGTCAGTGGGGTATAGGAGTTGAAGCTCAGAGAGTTCTGCCCCATCTTGTCAGAGGGCTCTGGACTCAGTCCTGGCGTGGCCACGGGGCGGCCCATGGGGCTTGTCCCGCTCACATAGGCTGTCATGGTGGAGAGGAAGCTGTTGAGGCATGGGGCACCCGAGGGGGCTGGGGAGGACTGCTTCTCTGGGGAGCTGGTGGCACCTGGTGAGACACTGTCCAAGATGTCCTGAGGCTCTGTGGCCTTGGGGGTGCCTGCCAGGAGGCTGTTCTCTGCCTTCTCTGAGGAGCCGGAGCTAGAGGAAGCATCTGACTTTCTCTTTCTCTTCCTGCGGAAATTCCCATTGTCGAACATTTTCTCACAGTTGGGATCCAGGGTCCAGTAGTTCCCTTTGCCTGACACAGAAGTGGGAGAAGGTAAGTACACAGAGAGACACACAAAACGTGCCTTCTCCTTATCCTAAAGTAAAAGCAAAGGTGACAAATGCTGGAGGAGGAGGACGAAAGCCTGGGGCTGAGAAACAGAGGGGGAATTCCACAAACAGCCACTCAACAAACCCAACGAGGGTGTGGGGACCACTGGGACAGAGAGGCATAAAGCATGAGGAGTGCACAGGGGAGATCCCTAGGTCCCTTTAAGAAGGTTGGAGTACTGGGGGAATGGGACAGCTAAAGATGGAGGCTAAAGAAAACTCAGGAAAAATTTCAGGACTCCTTGAGGGTCCTCCTAGGCTTGGAGCCTAAAGATGGACTTGAGTCCTGGCCTTGGTCCTAACTGAGGGCACCTCAGTTTCCTAGTCTGAAAAGTGGGGCCATTGGATCTGTCCCTGTCCTCTCAGGCTCCCTGTGGGGAAGACCAAATCCTGGATGTGAAAAGGGCTTTGCAACTGTGAAGTCTTGCTGCCGCCTCTCGGCTGGAGAGTGAGGGCAGTCCTTGGACCTTGGATGAGACACTTGCCCACTTCTGGGGGGACAAGTAGACTGGCCATTGCTAACTTCACAGGGGACAGAGGTGGGGCTTCTCTGAGCCATCCTCTGGCTTCCTGGGGTGTAACCCACTGCAGAATTCTGAACCTCAGAATTAAAAAGGGAAAGTTCCCAAACTCTGGTGTTCAGCTTGCTGTCAAAGTCACGCTCCATCACTGCCACTTCCTTCTGTGTCCCCTTGGGGGGGGGGGCAGGCTGTTTTGCTTCCTTATCTGTGCAATGGGTTCAGTGTGAGCTACTCTGCAGGGCGCCTGGGGATTCAAGGAGGTTCTGTGAGTAGGGAGAGCAGGCAGCACCATGGGGCCGTTCGGCTTGTTCAACAAAGGTCAGGTCCTCTCCCCTGCAGGCTTGGCTGTGATGCACTTGGACTTGGTTTGGTCCCATGTCATTCACCAAAGACTCGCTCTGTGCTGGCAGGGGGGATCAGCATCACTAAGTACTTGTTAGCACTAAACCTCATTCCTCTTCCACATGGGTGCAAAAGAGACATCCGTCCCATCCCTGCTCTTCAGATGAGGAAACTGCTGTTCAGAGATCCAACCTGCCAAGGTCACCGACCAGGACCCATTGCAATCTCATTCTCCACAGTGGAGCTCCCTGTAGCCCTGTCTCCTAGCAGCTCCCTTGCTCCGGGTGGGGGGAGGCAACACAGCCAGGACTTTCTAGAATGGACAATGAGCCGTCCTTGGGGACACCAGCAGCTTACACCCACAGCCCCCGTACCTGGGTCGTCTTCATCGCGGGGCACCTTCTTGAAGCAGTCGTTGAGCGACAGGTTGTGGCGGATGGAGTTCTGCCAGCCCGCCTTGCTCTTGTTGTAGAAGGGGAAGCTGTCAGCTACATACTGGTAGATCTGGCTCAGGGTGAGGCGCTTGTCGGGCGCCCCGTGGATGGCCATAGCAATAAGGGCCGAGTAGGAGTAGGGGGGACGCACCAGCTTCATCAGCTCCTCCTGCGAGGGGAGGGGCAGCCAGCCCAGGTCGCTGCCCCCCAGCCCTGACACGCTGGGCAGCAGCTGCCTTTGCATGCCGTAGGCCTGGGGCAGGAAGGGGCTGGCGTTGGTGCCAGGCAGGTAAGGTGGTGGGGTCATGGCTGGACCATTGAGCCAGAGGTAGGGGTTGGGGGTGGCCCCAAACTCGCCACCCCCCTCAAAGGAGGGGGGCCGCTGAGGGCTGGGCACGCCCTGTGCGTGGAAGAAGTTTTCATAGTAAAGGTTCAGCTCGGGGGGCTCCTGGCCGATGCTGGGGAACTGGGGGCTGCAGCGAGTGGGGGAGGGTGCTGGAAGGTCGAAGGAGCTCATGCTGGGGCAGGGCTGGGCTGGAGCCACCTGCCTGGCACCTGCCACCTGCACTGGGAGCTGCCCCTGACAGGTGCTCAGCAGCCCGGCCTCCCACTTATACCCCCAGGGCCAGGCTGGTGGCCCCACCCAGGGGCGGCCACCTGCAGCAGATCCAGCCAGGGCCCGCCCAGCCAGGCCTTGGATCTCTACTAATGACATGCTAAAGCAGGCTTATTAGAGTGGATATTAAAAATGACAAGGAACCCCTCTTTTCCTGTCTCTTTCTCTCTCTTCCTGCCTCTCTCCTCCCCGTTCCCCTTTACCATGTTTTCCATTTTCCTCCATTCTGCAGATCATTCTTCCTGTCCCTTCTCTGTCTTTTTTCCTCTGTGTATTTTTTTTAAATTGCACTGCTCCAGTCACGTGACACTCCTTTGTCCCTTCTCTCATCTGGCTCTTCCATTCTGTCTCTCTTATCTGTCTTCCTCTGCTCAACCTTCCCTTCTCTTCCACTCTGTCTCTTTGTCTCCATCTCTCATTTGCTCTGCCTCTCTCTTCTGATCCTTTCCATTCTTTTCTTTCCCACCCTTGCTGCTCATTCTCTGTCTAGGAGAGACCCCCTGCCCTGGTCTTGGAAGGGGAGATGCCTTCTGGAGTTGCCAGAAGAGCACGGACCCAGGACACTCAGGGAGCACCCTGCCTCGTGGAGATCGCACAGAAGCAGAGGGTTACAGACCCCCTCCTGCCACCAGCACACGCACACCCCCACGTGCTCACTCCAGGGGGGCAGAGAGGGAGCTGCTGTGGTCACTGCCTGGAGATTCACCCAGAGCAGCTCAGCCTCTTGAAAATAACATCAAAGGCAGAGGCTGGGGACTGGATCTGAGGAGAGGACCCCATGAATTTTCTCTCCAGCTGCAAGCAAAGCAGGATCCCCAGCCTCTCATCCCATCCAAAGTCTCTCAGGTTTCTGTGCAGGGTCCCTGGCAAGCAGGGACCCACTTCCCCATACCTGTCCCCTGGCCCCTCTGCTCCTGAGCAGGAGCTGCAGCCCGGGGGCTTCCCCTGCCCAGGCTGCTCAGCCAGCACCAGTTCCGCTCCTCATTCCCCCTCCGCACCTCGTCCCAGCTGCATCAGGCCCTGAGCTTGGTGCTGGGTGTGGGGGGTCTACCTTTCCAGAGAGGAGGCAGCTGTCCCCTGATCAGGGTTCTGGCAACAGCTGAAACTCCTCCCTGTGATCAAGCAGTTGGTGCAAACTTTAAGCCAGCCTTGCATTACCACCTTCCTGCTTTCTTTCCTGCCTCTACCTCCTTCCAGGCAGCTGCCTCCCACTTCCTCCAAACTCCATGTTTCTTTGAGGCTGAAGAAGGAGGTGCCAACCAGATGGATGCTTTTCCAGGAATTCCCCCCTCTCTCTGCTCTCCTGACAGCCCTGTGAGCACAGGTGGTGAGTGTGCATGAGTGGCACTGAGTTGTTTCATTTGCAGCGTTTTGGTACCCTGGGGATGAGTTTTAGGAACTGGGAGGGAGAGGTCCTGAAGAACCCCTGTCCCCACCATGAGCAGGGAAGGAAGGGGATCTGCCTGAAAGGGTCAAATTGCCCAGCTGAAGCTTCAGGTAGCAAACTTGGTGCTGCCCTTCAGCAGAGTAAAGAGCTTTTGTTTGTTTAGTTTCTGTCCAGGGAGGCCGGGCTTACCGAGGGTCAGGTCCTGGGCGTTCCTACTGTAGTCCATGAAATTGCATGTCTCCAGAATTAACTTGCAGAACTAGACAAAGAATTCACTTCAGGGCTCTCCACCATGGCATTGTTTATCACCATACCTAACCTAAATTTCCAACAGCAGAGGTCGGTTAAGTAACTTATGTATCATCCAAATGACGTAATATTGTACAGCCACGATGGCTAGGTTGTAGAGGAGTTAGTGATGTCGAAAGATGCTGGTGTTCCAATGGTATTTGGAGAAACGGGTTGGTTTTTTGTAAAAGTATACTCATGCATGCACATGAAGACATGAAGTCTGGAGATACAAATACGAAACTGTCACTGATGATTTGCGGCTGGAGAATTGGATGATTTTCTTGTGTTTTTCCATTGTTCCTCATTTAAATGGTGTGGGTGGTTTGCTTTGGGTGAAGGGCCAGGGAAGTGCAATGCTGTCAGGTTGCAGTGATCAGGGGCTCTGAGAGCTGGAGAACGCAGCTGTGCACCTCAGCCTCGGCAGGCGCTGAAGATCGGTGTCGACCTTGACAGGTGACTTGGTTTTTCTCAGCTCAGCTTCCGCGGGTGAACGTGGGAACGAGGTCATTGAACACTGAACTCACTGGCTGAATGGAAGCAAATGGTTTCACGTGGTGCAAGAGGCGCTCAATGGATGTTATGTCATGGTCAACATGGACTCCATCGTGCAGCCCGGCTTGCCTGAGGTTGCTGCCATGTGAGTTCATGAATTCTTTCCTGCAGCCTGTGGTCAGGAAAGGGGCGGAGGGGTTACAGGAAAGGAGCATTCAGTGTAGACACAGACAGCACAGCCAGACCCTGAAGGCAGAGGGCCCAAAATCCCACAATTCACAGTTGAGCTGGATTGGAATCTGATTTCCAGACATCCCATCACTGGGGTTTCCTTCCTAGGAGGTGTTTTCATCAGACTGCTTGCCTGAGTTTCCTTGTTGCCTGTGGGCCCTGGTTTTTCTTCTCCTGGAGATCAGAGAAAGCCTGGCTTAGCCCCGCAGGCCTGGTCCATGTGCAACTTCCAGTACCCAGAGTTCACTCCTTGAGGCCCTCCCTGCTCTTCACAAGGGGAGGCCATTAGGCCAGCTGTGTCCAAAGCATCCCCAGAGGCCCTCATTCTAGATCACCATGGGCAGTGGTTAAATTTTTGGGGGGTGGCAGCAGCAGAAACAGTTTGTTTCTGCTGCCCAGGTAAAGTTTGAGAGTCGGCCCTGAAGCCCTGCGGCCAGGCCCAGGGCCTCCAGGTAAAGAATCAAAAACCTCAGTTTGCTCATCTACAAAGTGGGGATGTGAATAGGATTGGTCTCGTGGACCTTGGAGGAAAAACAGTGTCATACACGAAAAGTTTGGATAATGGGTGTAACCTGGGTGTAGACCTGACGAATGCCTGGGTTCTGGAGGCCAGGCAGTGACAGGAGGTGGCTCCAGGCAGAAAGGCCAGCACCAGATCCTCCATTCGCTTTCACCTTGGGGAGCAATGTCCCTGTAGGCCTAAGGGTGCTCACATTTTGCAGACAGGGAGAACTGGCCACAGGACTAGGACCATCCCCGCTGGCTTTGGCTTTCAGGGGGTGGAGAATTGTGCTTTTTTTAGAGGCCAAATCTCAGCAAACCTAACTGGGAAGGAACCTCTCTGGTGCAGATTTTCACAAACATTAAGTCATTCAGTTCTCTGGACCCCATTGAGAGGTAAGGATTCATTTTCCACTTGATGTTGGGCACCCATCCACTCACTGAATGGGGTGTGAGCGGATGACCACAGAGGCAGGAGAGCGGGTGCACCGTGGCTCCCCTGGATCTCATGGAGAGCAAAGAGACCAGGCCCTGGTGCCAGATGTTCTGAGCCTCCTCTCCTTAGACACTGTGAGATCTCAGATTACAGCCTAATGGTCCTGGGCCTCAGTTTCCTCATCTTTAAAACAGAGAGACCCTACTTCTTCTGAGCATTGCTCTGAGAGCGAAATGCCAGGTACACAGGACCTACCCAGCAAATGCCAACCGCCAATAGAGATGCAGGGGCCCCAGGTGATGTGAGATGGTCACAGTCCACCAGCTGGGCCTACAGCAGCCCCAAGTGCACGGACCTTACCTGCTCTCCACAAATGCACCTTAGACAGAGGCTTGGTTTCACGGGTCCTCTCTCTCCACCTGTAAAACAGAAATAGCTTCTAAGTTCTCAGATTCTTAGGACACCAGCAGGGTAGATACAAGCTGGGGTGGGGAATCGGAGGATGAGGGAGAAGGTTCCTCTGTGCCTCAGTTTCCTTATTTGTAAAGTGGGGAGAAGTGACAGTTCTGCCTATTCTCTACAAACAGTTCCCCGTGCAGGGAGTGAGCTCTCATCTGGGCTTCCTGTCCTGCCTAGGCAGCAACATTCATGAGAGCCATGTCTTGACATATGTGAGGGCTTGGGAGGGGAGGACAGCTCTAGAGAGCTTAGGTCTGAAGAAATGTAGATCAATACTGCCCTCTGGTGGCCTTCTCTTTAAAAGCAGGAAGCAGAGGGGCTTGCGTGAGATTTCAGGGTTTAAGGGTGGGAGCTCAGAGTGAGTGTGGGATGAAAAGGAAGCAAATCCTAGAAAAACGACCCTCCTGCTGCTGCCGGGGGAAGGGTGAGAACCCAGCTGGAAACTGGAAGGTTGTCAAGAAGGCAGCCAAGCGTGATTCAGGCTGGATGGATCCCAGACAGAGTCCTAGCTCAGCCTCAGTTTGCTGGACTGTGAAATGGGTGTTGCGGGGAGCCAGTGAGGTAAGGAGATGGTGCAGGGTGTCACACCTTCCTTCCTGCATTGCTCAGCTAATGCTAGGTGGTGGTCAGGACATTGTCACTGTCACACACGTGTGCACACCCCTTGTGGGTTTTGCCATGTCTGTGCAGCATTTGTGGTTTGATTTTCTTGTAAGTGATCTTTTATTATCTTTCTTGCTTTTTTTTTTTTTTTTACAGTATTAGGGTTTGAACTCAGGTGAGGTGAAGGTGCTCTACAACTTGAGCCAAACCCCCCGCCCTCTGGCTCTATTTTTTTTATTTAATAAATTTAGTTTAAAGATAAAATTCCACTTACCTTCTAGAAATGGATCATCAGTATCGCTTCACATCAATAAAATAAGAAACAGTGGTCACTTAGGTCTTATACTGTGCTGGGCACAGCTTGGACTCACCCGGTTTCATAAGCAGTCATAAAATATGCAACTGTCTTAAGGATTTTCTCATTGTAGTCATTAAAAGGTGAATCTAATTGTTAATTGTTAAGAGTTTGGGTCACTTGGCCCTTATCACTGAAAGCGTTAT